TAAGTGTAAAGCCTTGCGATTACAAGGTCACTAACTGTGAAATTAGATATTTAACTTGAATAGGAGGCGCCACGCTCTGTCGAGACTAGTTAAATCCCAAGTGTCGATTACTTTCTGCTCTCCCGCAGTATTCGGCACGACAATGCCGAAAAGGCTAAAAAGGCTGCTAAAAAACCCTTCTTTGAAGCAACTGAATGTTTGCTCAAAGCCCCTCTCTCTCTGCCCACAAAGCAGATTCCAAATACTAATGAAAAGCTCTCCTTTTTCATTAACCTAGACAGTACAGATGCTACCCAGGAAGAAATAGCAAATGTAATGCCTCTAGGCATTGTTGGAGTCAAGCCAAGACTGGACTTGAAGGTAGTAGAGTTTGTCTGTGCTGATGAAGACACTGTCAGGAAAGCAACCACAACCCCCTTTCAGGTGAAGGACAGGAAGCCATTCTATGGAATATTGCCCAGACACCTGAGCTCCAAGGTGCAGCTGGTGAAACTGGCAAATGTACCTATAAACGGTGAAGAAACGTTAAAGAGGGCCATAGCTGACTACTGGAAAGAGTTTGGCAAGGTTCTAGACGTTGCTCCCCACAAGTTCCCAGGCAAACCGTGGTTGACAAAGTGCTGGGACCTACTCCTAAAGCTCCCTGAAGGAGCAAAGAAACTGAAAGCTACTCCAGTGCTTAAACTGGATGGCTTTGAAGACACCATCCTGGCAATGTGGAATGGTACTCCTAAGGCTTGCCTGTGCTGTTTAGTTGCAGGGCACTCCACCTCTTTGTGCCCTGGAAAAAATCCTAAAGTTGGGGAACAGCTTGACCCTGAAAAAAGGATCGGCAAGGAGGGACAAACCCAAAAGGGGAAGGCAACATCATCAGAAATTTCCACGGTCTCCTCGGAAAAATCCCAAGGTTCCTGCCACAAGCACTGTTACACCAGCCACAACTGGACACTCTTCCATTATGGCATCAACTTCCTCTGTCAGGCCAGCCACTCTTACTATGCCACAACCACTGACTGAAACAGCAGCAGCTGCCTCAGCTGGTACCAGTTGGACTGTCCAAACAGAGAACATGCAAATTGAGCTGCCATCTGCACTTAGGGCATCCACACCACCATCCTTTAGGATGAATACCCCACCCCCGACTACTGGAGTGGACCCGGATACCCCAAAGAAAGGTAGCAAGCGCATGGCAAAAGACCAATCTCGCCTAGACCCAAATGAAATCTGGAATCCATCAAGAGAGGAGATCTCTCAGCATGTCCTTGGAATTAACCTCTGTGTTAGCTGCTGGCAGAACGGCCACAAAGCTAAGAGATGCCCAGATAGAAAAGAGGCTTTTGGAGGCTACTATACAGAAACTGTACTGAAGCACCCAAATTTCCAGCCACATCTGGAAGAATGGATACAGTTTCGCAAGAGGACGGGCAAGCCCTGGAGACTGGAAAATCACACAGTGGAAGCCCTGGTGGTTATCCCTCCTTATTGCTTTAAATGCAAAACAGTAGGTCACACTAGCGAGGATGTGTCCTGTCCTATGAAATAACTCGCAGCCATAAAGTCCCAGGTACCATTATCTTAGCTAGCATAAAGTAGCAGTATAGGTTTTCACTAGTGGCTAGTTTCCATTCTGTGCTGCTCAGGTTTATGTTAGTAACTATAGATATAATAAAAATAATGGGACCATATGTATTAGTACTCTATATAGAATAAGTATAAGTTTTTTAATATTTATTTCATGTACATATGTTTATGCTTTATTGTTGCAAGTACATGTCGTGCCGACTACTGCGGGAGAGCAGAAAGTAATCGACACTTGGGATTTAACTAGTCTCGACGGAGCATGGCACCTCCTATTCAAGTTAAATATCTAATTTCACAGTTAGTGACCTTGTAATCGCAAGGCTTTACACTTACGGGC